AAACGCAACTCCAAACTTGTATAATCTTGTACCAAATTAAAATACCTGGCTCAAGGAAGAATAAAGGGGAACTTTAAGCCTTTGGGACCACTCCACCTTCATGTCCCAGGCTGTAGCCAAAAACAGCCCAGTTGCCTGCCAGTTGGTGAGTGCCAAAGCTTTCCTTTTTGGTAAAGAGTCCTATTCTAGAATAGTATGGGAATGAATAAGGAGAGAATTACTCTAGTAACTGCATTTGCATGGTAGTGGTGGAGAGCAGCACTACCATTGTACAGTAAAACTTTTCTCCATTTAGACTAGCAGTGTCCACCCAAGTAGGGGTACCTGCTGTTCTGTCCTCCATGCCAGACTGAAGATAAAGCAGTCGTCTGCTTTTCAGACTGCTGAAATTTAATACAGTACATATATACTATATCAAATACACATATAAATACACACTAAGCTGCTAAATCCCTAGAGGGGAAGGAGCTCATATATATTGAGCTCTCTGTGTCAGAAACCATAAGAAAATAGAGATTTCATTTAATCCTCACAAACATCCTGCCACAAAGGCATTAGTATTCCTACTTTTATAGATGAGAACACTGAAGCTCAGATAGATTAAATAGCTTGCCCAAGATCACAAAGCTAATAAGTAGCAGAATCAAGACTTGAACTTGGTTTTGCTTAACTCCAAAGCCCATGCTGCTTCTAGCATTTTCTTAATAGTGTAAGAATGGCAACCTTCTTGGGTCTTCACTTCACCTTAATTCCTGACATAGTACTTAACCACATGTCCTGGCTGTATCTTTACAACTTCACAAAGGGACAGAGAAAAATTACTCAGACAACTTCTTCTTTGTGTGTTTTCTTTTCCTGCATTTATGTCCTAATCCTGCACAAACTAGTCTTTTTTAGGCTGAATCAATGGGATAGACATAATAGTCTGCCACACAACATTTCAGCAATCAGTATACCTAAAGGGTGAAAGTTCTGCTTCCTTCCCTCAGCACTTTAGCAGCCATAATTTTTTAGCACAGTATCATTTTCTAAGCTGGTTCCTACCATTTAAAGAGTGGCAGTGCCTAGCTAGTACAATGCCTCACAAGCAGTAGGTACCGAGGGAAAATATTTGTTGATTCATTGACTAAGAAAGGCTTCTAGTCCTCTAGTTAACTTGCTGTATTTAAATCAAAAGTCTTTAGAAGAGCCCAATTTGAAAAATGAATTCTGTCACATTGAAGATAATTTTCTGGAAAATTTAAAAATGATTCAGGAAAAAAGGTAAATTGAAATATAACAATCTAGTGTTTAAGTCCCTAAATAACTCATGGACTTGGAACACAAGAGTTTAAGAGGCTCAGTTTAAAAATACTGTTATTCTCAAATAAATGAACCAACAAAACAGAAACAAACTCACAGATATAAAGAACAAATTGATGGCTGCCCAGTGGGAGGGGGCTTAGGAGGCTGGGTGGCAAAGGTGAAGGGACTGAGAAGTACAAGCTGGTGGTTATAAAACAGTCACGGGTTTGTAAGGTACAACCTAGGGAACGCAGTCAATAATGCTGTAACATTGTGCCAGATGGGAACTAGACTAATCAGGGTGATCATTTTTAAGTCATATAAATGTCTGATCACTATGTTGTAACACCTGAAACTAAAATATTGTATGTCAACTGTAATTGATACAATAAAACACATAACTGTTTTGCTTCTGGTGATAAGACTTTTTTCATTTTTTACATACACTAAAATTTTTCTGCAGTAAGTATGTTATTTTATGATTAAGGAAACTGATCTCACTCTTTATAAACTATGTATTTTTAACACTTTCTATACAGTGTGGGTTTATTTTCTCAGATATAATCTACAGGAATTAAGTATTCATTAATTCATGCATAGTCTCTAGAACAACTTATTACATAATATCAGCAGATTAAAGATAATTTTTCATTCATGGAGCATTTCTTCCTTTAGGTGGATTATCTCTAGCTCTATGTTCTTTTCCAGCAGGTGCGGGTTTCTTGTATACTCTCCTTGGAGCCCTGATTATCCATCTCTTCTTAATAACAAGCACAGGTATAATAACATTTTCCCCTGATACTGACCCAGTTTATATGTCTTTTAATTTTATGTATGTAATCTTTCCAATAGCATTAAAGTACTTCGACCACAATGAAATCCAGATGGAATGAGCGACTTTGTGTGGTAGTAAGTTCCCCACCAACAGAAGTATTCAAAGCAGAGATCTTTCATAAGGGCTTCCTGTGCTGGGTTATATATGCTAAATTTTATGGCCTCTTCGGTTTTGAAGTAATTTTCTGACAAGTCTAGTTTAGTGACACAATGGATCACACACAAGCCTCCAGTTTGTTGAGCCCTTTCTGTGCCCCTCCCTTCCACTGTTTAAATCAACCAGAGAAGATGCCCTTCTGATGAAGCTTAACTTAGAGAGTTTTCTGATTGCTCCCTGTGGAGACCCATTCCCTTAATATTAACAGTTTCTTGCTATTTGAAATTATTGAAATGTGCTAAAAAATGCAGTCAGCCAAATGTCACTGTATTACTTACATATGGATCTGCTGCAGCTTGTAAAGCACTGTCTCCATGAGGGACAGCCAAAATGAAGAATTATGTGGGAGTAATAAAATATGATAACTAGGCCTGCAACCTCAAGTATAAACCCAGCTGCGCATGCACACACACATATCTACAGAAAAGCCTGCTGACAATGAAAGAAAAGCCCAAATCATATTCAGCATTGGGTACACTTACTTCACGGCAGGGCCAGTCAGGGAGCTGTCCTTTCAGCACCACAGCAAGAAAGCCTGGCGCAAGCCTGAAAGCAAGCAACTGAATCTGGCTGGTGAGAAAACTGTGTTCCTACAAACCTCCTACAAAGACAGCAAAAAGCAATTGTATGGTTGCTTGTTTTTGAGTATGTTACATCCTACTTCATATTCCCCTATTAATTGAAAATAAAACCCTTCAAATATTTTAATAAAAGTTCACAAAACCCCAAGTGAAAACCAAAGGTATAGGAAGTCAGCTTTTCAAACTCAAAGAATCCAATAACTGGCCTGAACTATCAAGAACTGCTTTGCATTACCCACCACCAGCCCTACTAAGAAACACAACACATTCACACATCCCTTATCATATTCAAGGAACATGCTTGCAGCCCTCTCCAGGGACAGCCTCAATTTCTAGGACAGAGAATGCTTGCTGAATACCAAACCATCACTACCACCCCCCTTTTCCAAGCAATCAAATTCTCTTTCAGGGAGAACTGAAGGCCTTATGGGTCATGAGTTCCAAAGAAAAAATGCTGCAGTATTTCAAGAACCAGGTTACAGGCAGTGTACTACAAAGCTTACAGCATTTTAAGTCTAATTCCCCTGAGATTCATACCGGGTGGTAATGTAATCCAGCCATTTGCATTACACATCAAAAAAATTTTTTTGAGTAAAGAAAAAAGCTCCCCCACTCCCAAATATCTTCTAATGCACGTGAGGAGAAGTGTGGAGAGACTGTGAAACAGTGAAAACCTACCACACCCGAAACCTCCTTTGAAAAGCTAAAACATCCCCCAGCCCTAACACACTGCTACCTCTCTAAAGGCTCTCCAGGTTCAAACTTGAGAAAACTGTTATAAAAAGCACTCTCCCACTTTGCCCTCAAAGCCCTCACCCACACTTCTTGCTTCCATCCCTGCTTCTCTGGTGCCCACTGTGCATTAAAAGCAGTTCCCCCTGTAGGTAGAGCTCGCTCCATGCTAATTATTTCTCCCTCCCTCTGAATTAGCCAGATGTAATGCAAAGTTTCTTTTATCCATCCCCCCCAACAGATGACATCCTCTTATTATGAACACTGATGCCAAATCTTGGGATCTCCGGATATAAAATGTATTCCCCCATGTTTCAAAAACTGCAGGGTAAATGAGGAAGAGGGCACAGGGTGGAGTACTTAGGAGGAATGCATCTTATTTACTGGGCTGAAAAAGGATTCTCACTCCACCCCACCTCGATGCTGGGGCCACTGAAGGGGTCTGAAAACCTTGGCTGACCCCTGTGGAAAGTTAGCTGCCGAGTCTCCACTGGTGGTTGCTACTGGAACAGAAGAGATGGAGCTGAGCGCTCAGGAAAAAATGCAGAGGCTTTGCGGTCCCCCAAGTATAAAGAGAGAACTAGAGAGGAAGGGTCCAAGCCTGTGGAGCTGGGCAGTCCCATAAGGCCCACGCTAACAAAAAGCCCAGGGTGCTGATGGTGGTGGTAAGGTGGGGGAGGGAAGGGAGAGAGGACAGGAACAAGCTCTGCATAGGGTGGTGTGAGTGGCGGGGGAGGGGATATTCTGAAAGTGATGTACTCCTTAATGCAGAATCCTAGCCTCCTGAGGAAGGTCCCGGGGGCCCCCAACACAACCCCAGAGCACCCTATCGGGAGGGAGACAGTCGCATCTGAGTAAAGGACGGGGGGAAGTCCTGGCTGTCCTAAGAACCCAGGAACCCCAGGTTTCTGCAGTTAGTGACAATCTGGAGCCGGATGGGGGAGAAGGATGCAGTATGACATGGGGGAGGGGGTAGAGCTGAGGGGCTGCTGTAGGAAGATTCCGACAGCGCTGCCCTTCCCAGTACAACCCGGCGAGGGGCCCCGACTCTTCCCGAGACCGGGGAGGCTGGGGTTTAGGGGGGTTGCACTACGATAGGGGCTCCGAGGACAGGCCAGTGTCCCTCAAAGCAGCCAAGAGACGAGGAGAGTGAGGGTGTGTGGGGTTGGGGGTAGGTGGTCCTCAATTCTCCTTAGGGACCCCCGGAAAACACCGAAGGACGCAAGACTTCCAAACACCTGTCCAAAACAGGGAGGGCAGTAACCTAGCTCCACCGCCCCGCGAGCCCCGCCGCGCACTCTGCGGCAAAGCCCGACTGGAGATGGGGGTACCCCGCTCCATGGTCCCGAGAAGAGAAGGGGAACCCATCAGGCGAGGAGCGGCGCTGGGGCGGGGGCTCTGGGACGACTTACGGCAGCGGCGGCGAGAGAGGCAGCGGCGGCCCTAGCGCGGGGCCCGGGAGGCGCGGCCGGACTGCAGAGGCGCCGAGGCTGCGGCGGGCGGGACTGCGGTGGGCGCCATCTTGGAGCGCTCCCCGCGCCCGCCCCCCGCACCGCCCGAGTCCTTGCATAATTGATGACTCGCGCCCGCCGCGCGCCGCTGCGCGCGCCCCCGCTACCAGGCCCCCCGCCCGCCCCGCCCCCGCGTCGACCCCCGCGCGCGCCCCCCGCCCGCCCTCAGCCCCGGCTTGCGCATGCCGCGCCCTGCCGCGCCCTCCCGCCCCCTCCGCGCGGCCCACCTACTCCTGTAAGGCGCTCCGGCTCCTCCGCAGGGCCCCGCGCTGCCCGCGCGCCCGCTAGCTGGATCTCAGGCGGGCGTCCCCGCGCCGCCCCGGACCGGATCCGGGACGAGGGAGCAGGGCACCGACAGGGGGCGCCTCACCGGAGCGCCTCGAGAGCGTCCCCGGGCCCGCCTCCCCGACGCCCCCGCGGAGCCGCGCGGGAGAAGCCTCTCCCCTTCCCGCCCCTCCTTCCTGGCCCCCACCCCCACCCCGAGATGACCGACCTGACGGGGCTGCGGGACTCCGGCTGAGTGTCCGCCAGGACCTGGGCGTTGAAACCCAAAAGGTGCTATGTTGCCTCGAGTGCCCCTTGGCCCTTGTGAGTGCCAAATCTTACCTTTTCCGTGAACGGCTGTCGCAGAAGGCAATACCCGGTAATACTGCCATATTCAGCTCTTGGAGTTTCTGATATCTGTAAACACAGGGAAGTCAATTCACATTGATCTTTTGGTCAAATGAGAACAAAACAAAACACAGAAGTCCGTCAACAGCAGTTGGAGTCTTGAGATTCAGTGAACACGGTCCTGGTATGAGGAGTACAGAAATGCCGCTTCCCTGAAAGCCGCCGGGTCTCAAACTATGTAAAGATCACTAGTATTTGAACTGCTTACTCCACATTCTCTTACAAGGATCTAGATAATGAGTGTGAGAACTCTTAGCATTTTATTGTGCCTCTCTTCTACATGTTTCTCCCACAAATTCACAGTTAAGAGTGAAAAAATATGGTCAGGCTGCCACTTACTAACTGGGTAAACTTGGACATGAAAACCTAAGTTTCAGTATTCTTGTCTGTAAAACACAACGGTCATAGTTAATAAGCTGACAGGTTTATTGTGAGGATTAAAGAATAGAGTACATTTCACACATTTACAACACAACTTGACACACGGTATGCCTACCACATAGTGTGCCTGCTACATACATTTTAAAATAGCTTTACGGAAGTTTAATTGTCATAGGATAAACTATGCATGTTTAGAGTGAAGGGTTTTGCCATATGAATACATGTTGGAAATCACCACCATCAAGTTCAGGAACATACCCATCACCTCCAAAAGTTTTCCCATGCCTCCTTATGATTCCTCCTTGCATCACTCCCACACTGACTCCCTCTCCAGGCAACCACTAATCTTTCTATTACTGTACATTGGTTTACATTTTCCAGAACTTCAAACAAATGGAATCATACATTATGTTCTCTTTTTTTGTGTGTGTGGCTTCTTCCACTCAGCATAATTATTTTGAGATTATTCTGTAGTCCATTATTTAGTTATCTATCAGTTCATTCCCTTTTATTGATGAGTAGTATTCATTAGGAGAATATACCACCATTTGTTTACCCGTTCATCTGCTGATGGTATTTAGGCTATTTCCAGTTTTTGCCTATTACAAGTAAAGCTGTTATGCATATTTGTGTGCAAGTCTTTGTATAAACATATGCGTTCATTTCTTTGGGGTATAAACATCTACAAATGGAATGACTGAGTCCTATTCTAGGTGTATATTTAACATACTAGGAAAGGGCCAAACTGCCTTTCAAAGTGGTGGTGTCATTTTACATTCATACTAGCAGTACACGAGAGTTTCAGTCGTTCTACATCTGTGATTTTCAACCTTATTCATCTCATGGCACACACAAGCTAATTACTAAAATTCTTCAGTGCACCAAAAAATACAGATTTTGCCGATCCAACAATAAATAGGTATAATTTTGATTCATTCACACCAGACAGCTATTGTTATGTTGGCTGTTGTCATTTTTTTTATGTGACAATCTAAGGGAAAAGAGGTCAGTGCCCCTGACTAAATTCTCAGGTATTGCATGTTTTAAAAATTCTTGTGGCACCCCATCTGAAAATCGCTGCTCTACATCCTTGACAACATTGGGTATGGTCAATCTTTTCATTTTAGCCATTCTAACAGGTGAGTAGTGTTATCTTACTGTGGTTTGCACCAGAATTTCCTTAATGACCAATAATATTGAGCATCTTTCCATGGTCTTATTTGTCATCAGTAAAACTTATTGGGTGAACGTTCAAATCTTCTGTCTTAAGTTGAGTTGCTTGTTATCTTACTGAGTTTTGAGAGATGTTTAAATATTCTGACTATAAGTCTTTTCTCAAGTTTGTGATTTGTAAATTTTGTCTCCCAGTCAGAGCATAACTTTGTATTACCTTAAAGATGCCTTTCATAGAGCAGAAATTCATAATTTTTATGAAGTCTGATATATATTATCTCTTCTGTGGATCATGCTTTTGGAGTCATACCTAAGTTTTTTTAACATAAATATCTAGTTATTCCTGCACTATCTGATTACCCTTGCACCTTTGTTAAAAATTAATCAGGTATGTTAAGGGTCTATTTCTGGATTCTATATTCTATTTCATCGATCTATTTGTCTATCCTGATATTAATACAATACTGTCTCAATTGCTCTTGCTTCATAATAAATCTTGAAATCAGATAATATAAGCTCTCTGATTTTTTTCTTCTTTTTTTAATACTGATGTTGCTATTCTAGGTCATTTGCATTTCCATATAAAGTTTAGAATCAGCTTGTCAAATTCTGCAAAAAAGAAAAAAATCCTCTGGGATTTTGATCAAGATTGCATTCAATCTTGATCAATAGATCAAATCAGAGACCACAGATATCATAATACAGTGTATATCACTCCATTTATTTCAGTTTTCGTGAATTTCAACAATGTTCTGTAGTTTTCAGATACAGGTTTTGCTCACCTTTCTTGGCCTTATTCCTAAATATTTCATATTTTTTATGCTATTGAATACCATTTTTACCTTTTAATTTTGGATTGTTTATTGTTAGTATATACAAGTACAATTAAATTTTGTGTATTGATTTTATGTGCTAAAACTTTGCTAAAGTCATTTATTAGCTCTAGTAGATTTTTTTTGTAGATTCCAAGAGGTTTTCTACAGAGAAAGTAGTGTCACCTGCAAATAAATACAGTTTTGTTTCTCCTTTCTAATCTAAATGCCTTTTATTTATTTTTCTTGCCTTATTACACTGGCTAGGACCTCTAGTATAATTTTTTTGTTTTTATTTTTTTAATTTATTGATTTGATAGAGAGAAACATCAGTTTTCTGTTCCTTCTATTTATGTGTTCATTGGTTGACTTCTGTATGTGCCCTGAATTGGGGTTGAACCAACAACCTCAGCTTATCAGGACAATGTTCCATCCAACTGAGCTACCTGGGCAGGGCTCTAGTACTATGTAGAATAGAGTGGAAAGAGCAAACATCTTTGCTTTGTTCCTCATATTAGAGGGGAAACATTCAATCTTTTGTTATTGTATGATATTAGCTGTAGGTTCTTCCTAGTTACCCTTTATCCTGTAGAGCAAGGTCTCTTCTATCCCTATTTTCCTGAGACTTTTTAATGAGTTTTATGTAGCATAATGTATAAAAAAGTCAGTGTGTTTTAAAGAGAAATTTGAGGTCACAGATTTTTTTAAAAAATCCAATCCCATGAAATACAGACACTCCTTCACAATAGACTTGCCTTTCTAAATAGTTTTTATTTTGCATTTTCCAAAGCTGTATGGTTATTACAATCAGGATCTGTGCCCTCTTTCTTTAAAGCTGGTTTTTTTTTCTGAAAATCGGACTCTTTGGAGCTATTATTAGACATCATTTGCCAAATAGTAAGAGAAGACAAACTTCTTTATCCTTTCTCCAATATTTTAAGGAACATGGAAATTCATCCTCGTGGGATTACAAGGGTTTAAAGTAAGAATCTGCTACTTTTAAGCTCCAGGTTGCTAAACTTACAAACTTTTTAAAATATGAGAATATTTGCTGACTCCATAAGAATCTTTGAGGGCATCAAAAATGTCAAGGATTTACTTTTAAAACTAAGCTTATATCAGAAAAAAAAATTCAATACACTGAGATATGAGTTTCCATTTAGAAAGATGAAAGGATTAGACTTACCCACTGTTGCTCCAGAGGGCAAAACCAAGACTAGTGGTAGAAGTTCCTAGAAGATAGATGCCACTTTGGTATGAGGAAAGATGGTCTAATAGAGCAAATCAGCAACAAAACCGACAGCCCCTGAGTAAGGAGCCAAAAGTGCTTGTTCAAGGAGAAACCGTAAGCTACGTTGTTCTGGACATTTTTAGGATCAGGGACCACTTTGACAATCTGATGAGAACTGTGGATCATTTTTCTTCCCTGATAAGCATGCAGATCCATGCACACACACGCACATATAGTAAAACACAGCTTTACATTCAATTTGAAACTCATCCTTGAACTCCAAGTGAAGAGTACCCAGCGTACACAGATGTTTAAAGCATGAAGTGGGACTCTGCCCTTCCCACTCTGAGAGCCTATGACCCTCTGGTTCTATCCCCATCCTTACCACTACTTTTGGAGGTCATCTAGGGTTTTCCAATGGAAATCCAGCAGAAGTACTTTACTTCTTTTAATGTTCTGCCTCACTACTTCTGCACAGTAAAAATTTACTTAATCTTCTATCCCTCATTCCAGACATTACTGCTTCCTCTAAATTTACCATTCCCTTCAATAGAAACAGGATTTAATTCCTTAGCTTTCTGTGATGCCAGCAGACTCCAGTCTGAAGATTTTATCTCTGAGATTACTCCTAATCTTCTCTCACACTGGCAAGCCCTGCAAAAATATTGTTGCTGTGGGAGATATCACT